ATAACAGTGGGGATATCTGATTCAAAATTCCTTGTCTAAACTGATAAACAGCAAAGCAAATTGGTAACAACTGATTTACCAGGGACAAACCCATGTTGTTCAACGGGAATAATTCTGTTGTCCAGAAGAAACTTGAACGTGCTGTCATAGACAACTGTCCCTATGATCTTAACAACCACCGATGTTAAGCTGATAGGCCTGTAACTGTCGGGACAAAATTTGTCTCCCTTCTTAAATATGGACTTGACGAAAGCTGTCAACCAATCGGGAAGTAAAGTACCAGAGTTAAAAGACTGAGTAAACAAAAAACTAATCGGTTCACCTAAGGAGGTAGCACATTCTTTCAGAACTTCAACACTGTCTCAGGAGTGAACTGAATCTCGTCCATGTGGACGGAATTTGGTTCAAAAGGTATGTCGGCAATCTTTGCATCAGGCTCTACTATGAAATTTCGAAAAAAGTTTTCTGCAAAAATATCCGCTGACCTTGCAGTCGTTTAGAAAGCAACCAGTAGCATCTTTAAGTTGAGGAATTTTAACTGAGCCCGATATATTAGCGCGGATGTGCTGGAACAGGCGTTTGGGATCCTTACTTTCCGCTATTCGTTTTCATACTCAATCCTCGCTTTCCTGATTTTAGTGGACAGTTTATTTGAAAATGCCCTATGCGGCTGATAGTCAGCAGCACTGGAAGTACGCTTAAAGGCACGCCATAACGATCTTTTCTTCCTGACTAATTTTAGTAAGCTACCGCTTATCCATGGCTTATTAGATGATCTGCTGACTTTGACAAAACTAGAATGTTTACCCACTATGTCACCTAATATATTTTTGAACGACTCCCAATTCGGGATAACCGAAGAATTACTAAACAATTTTGTCCAGTCGACATTACTGAGATCATCATTTACAACTTTATATTTCGTCACAAGTTTGGAATGCGTATCGACCCTTTGCCTAAATACATAGCACAGCTGCAAGTTAATTTTTAATGTTACACGGTCGGACTTGCCAAATGGACTTAAGTACATCAGGTCAGCTAGGGAGCTGTCGTCAGAAGTTAAAATTAAGTCTAATAATGATGGTTGCTGATTAGACCTGTAACGAGTCGGTTGAGACACAATTTGATTAACATTATTAATCACATCTATCAGTAACTGCAAAGAAGTATCGTGAGACTGATAAGAGGTTGCGGACCAATTAATAGAAGGCATATTAAAATCTCCAAATACAAAAATTTTGTCATATAAGTGATAGAACCTACTGAGGACATCAAAAAGAGTACGGTCGCAGGCCAGTGATGATTTGGGGGGCCTATAAATACAAGCTAACAAAAGACTGAAGTGATAAAAGTCTCATAACAGTACTTACAACGCTCGTTCTGGTGTAGCATGCTTTGAAGATGCTAGGACCAGAAAAATTTTATATGGGGGTGTATAAAATAAATATTCTCACATGCACACGTATTCAAAATTAAAAAAAGCATAAACCTCATAAATATTTCAAAAATTGGAACTAGGTCTCTACAGCAATGGAGAGTAGTATTATCTTAGAGAGATTCCAAAAATCAGTAGAAATGTATCGTTTAATTTATTCAAAAACACAATAACAATAATATCTTTGTTTTTTTTTAACATTGTAACTTGATTAATATATATAACAGTCTTGCCTCCCTAATTTCGCAGTTCAAATCAGTAAAATACTTAGATTACAAAATTAACCTCTGAACTGGTTTCTTAATTCTAGTAGATTGACGTATCTCGGACTGTACGCTTGTTTCTAGACCCATTAATTGTTGTTCAAGTTGATCATCTTTTTGAACAATAACTGGTAGTGACTCGACACCTACCGGTACCAGATGTTCTTCTGTTGACCTAATTTCTTTCTCTTGAAGGAGCTCTTGATTCAGTGTGTTTTCTGTTGATTGAATCAGAATGTTGGTCTTTAGAGAATTCTTACAATCAAGTTCTAGATCCAAGGTAGTGCCAAAACCTGTTTAAGTGTTGATATTCATTATCTTCTCCACATTACAGGAACGAAGTTGATTGTAATGACGCTTAATTACATAACCATCGTCTAGTTCTACTAAATAGTGTAGATTACTAATACATTTTGTAATTAGTCCATACTTCCATAATCCATTTCTTGAATAATTTCTGGATTGAACTCTATCGCCCACTGGAAAATGTTTCTTCAAACTTGATTTGTTTTTTTTTCCGATTCAGTTGGTCCCATAAAATCTAACTTGGTTCGTACATTTCTTTCAAAACAGACTTCAGAAGGTGTCCGTCAAGAAGATAACGGAGTAACTCGATACCGCAGGAGGAACTTATAAAGTTTCGCGTGTAAATCACCGGGTTCATTCATCATGCATTTAAATTTTGTTTTTAATGTTTGACAATATCGTACTGCTTGACCATTCGTGGCTGGATGTCCTGGTGCAATCATCCGTTGTTTAATACCATTCCGTTCACAAAATGCTCTAAATTCATTTGATTTGAAGATGGTTGCATTGTCACTAACTAATATTTCTGATAATCCATGCCGGCTAAAGATTTCTCGTAAATGATACATGGTGCTCGTTGATGTAGGAGAATTTTTAACCATAATTACTCTTGGCCATTTGGATTTGGCATCAACAAGAATTAGAAAATGATGGTTGTAAAATGGGCCTGCATAATCCATGTGTACACGTTGCCAATTCTTTTCTGGTATTTCCCATTGATGAATCGATGCCTTTGTAGGATTTTTCTTAACATCGCAAAAAGCTTGACAACTTTTAACCATATTTTCGTTGTCAGAATCGATGCCTTTCCAGTAGCAATAGTTTCTTGCTAGATATTTCATTTTAACCATTCCTAGGTGTGCCGAATGAAGTTCTTGTAGAATAATATGTTGTAATTTTTTTGGAATTACCACACGATGTCTTCTAAATATTATTCCATCGTGCAGTGAAAATTCTAGACCTCTTCTGGTTCCATTTAGAATTTCTTCCTTCATTTTACATAATTCTGGATCTGTTCTTGTTTCTTTTTCAATTTCATGAGCTGCGACTGTTTCTGTACTAATCTAATTAATTAAAATCGTATTCAACACGTATTCATCATCAGTTTTTTCTTCTTCTTTTGGTGATAATTTATTCTGTTGGGCAAAATATATTATTATTATTATAATTTCAATAGACTTCTGGAGAAATAATCAACATTTACATGTTCACTGGATTTTCGACATTGAATAATTGAAACCGGATAAAAATTGTGCATATCTTAACATTCTGGTTGCAGATAAGGCTGGAAGTTGAATTTAAAATAATACTCAGTGGTTTATTATCCACAAATAGAATTAATTTCCTTCCATAAATATATTGAAAAAATCAATCTTTTGAAACTCCAATAAATGGCTGTTGCCTCTTTATCTAATTGACTATAACTAAGTTCAGCTTTTGTCAACGACCTGGGGGATGCAAAAACAACTGGTCTTTCAGATCCGTCTGGAAAACGATGTGACAAAACACCTGGAAGTCCATACGGGCTGACGTATGCGGCAAGTGTTATGTCTAAATCAGGTGTAAGAGACATGAGAACTCGTTCACTGGCTATTTAAGCTTTGTCTTTTTTGAACGCTGTTTAACATTCGATAGACCATTTAAAATTTGTGTCTTTTAATGGATATAACATGTTGGATGTACTGGGAATAATTTTTGTATAATACATCACCATTCCAAGAAAACGTTGAAGTTCTTCTAAAGAGTTCGTTCTTGGTGCTTCTATGATCGATTTGATTTTATCTTCAGATTTTTCGAGTCCTTTTTCTGAAATGACATGACCCAAATATTGAATTCTCTTCTTGAAAAATTGACATTTTTCTTGATTCAGATGCAGATTATATTTACGTAATCGTTCAAGAACTTTAATTAAACGAAATTTACATCAAAGCCAGCAGAGGATTTCTTGAAATCGTCTTACTAGTCTTGAATAACCGTAACATTACTCTCTACAGTTGTAATGTAATCATTTAAGCGTTTTAAATGATCATCCAATGATTGTTAATTAATTTTTTAACAACTCTAGCTGTTTAGCAACGATGCCCTCTATAACTGCAGCTGTTATGCAAATTTGTGTGAGTGGGTTGATGCTAATAAGTTATGTATAAATGAAGATCAAACATCTCTTATCACCTTTTTCAATGGAAAATCCAACTTTAACGATGATGTATTGCTCAATAATCAAAATATGAAGCTCTCACAGACTGTAAAATTACTAGGATTGACACTAGACAGTCAAATGACGTGGACGTATTATTTAGAAAATCTATGCAAAAGATTAGCAACTGTTTGTTATGCTTTGCGTAACCTAATGCGACAATGCAATTTGAACACGGTTAAGATATTCTATTTCGGGTGCTTCCAAGGTATTTTGCAATACGGAATCGTGCACTGGGGTCTTTCTTCCAAAGTCCAAAGGGCCTTTGTTATTCAAAAATGGGCCATTAGAATTATAACTGGTTTGAAAAGAAGGGAGTCTCGCAGGAAAGCCTTCAAAGAACTTAGGATTTTAACATTACCAAGTCTGTATATTTCTAATGTTGTTTGCTATGCTTTCCAAAACGTACAAGTTTTACAAGGTAGTAGAAACTCATAGGTACACCTATAATACTCGACACAAGGACCACTTGCTACCCAGACAACATAACACGACCTATTTCCAGAAAGGTCTTCAATATAATTCTTGTAGAATGTTTAATAAATTTAGTTTAAAGCTAAAGTTAAATCGTACCTGCTGGGATTAAATTGTTATTGTATAAGAGATTTTCTTGCTGCTTAGTAAAGCTTTCTTGTTCATTTGTGTTTATTTTTATTATTTCTGTTTGATACAATAGTATTGTTACTGTTAATGTCTAAATTTCTTGTTTATTGACGTAACTGTAAGTCATTTACATAACAATTTACATGATTTATTAAGTTGTAAATAAATATTATTATTAATAATATTATTATGTTACGTGAGGAGTGGGTGTACATTTTCCGACAGATCTGGGGGCAGTACTGCGAAGTGCCCTCTAGCGAGAAACGGTACTTACAGCCGCGCGCTTTTGGGTCCTGTAAGGTATCACCAAGGGGAAGTACCGCACACGGTTACCCTCTCCGTACTCTATTTTTCATCGCACTGAAGAAGAACGCACTTTCGGGGTCTCCTTCGTGAATTTCGGACTCCGTCAAGAACTGTCTCCTGAAGACCAAGCCGTGGCCCCGGCAAGAACATATTTTCCATATTTTTGGTCTGTATTACAGTCACTTCCGAAAATAAATAGTTTTACACACTACAACCAAAATAAACTAGGGAAAATATTCATCAGTTAGGTACCTCCTTTTTCGACTCCAAAATAAATGTGAAGAACAAGATCGTTATAAGCAGCCAGTTCTTAGCTTCCGAAATATGTAAATACATATTTCAGATGTTAACTCGTTGCACGTTTTATTAATTACTACTTCAACATATTTGCAACTACAATACATAAATTAGGTTACATATTCAAAATTAAAATAAATGGTGGTTCTAAGCCACTGTTATTTAACAAAATAAATACAAAACCTATTTTATAGATAGCAATAACATATAGACTGTTTTAAGTTAACCATTGGGCAATTCCCCGAAAATGTCCACCTCAGCACATTTTTTTGAAAATTGTTAAATTAATCTAAATCTTACACCCGCAGTAAAAATTTCTTGTTATTGAGGAATAATAAAATTGTTCAGAGAAATGATAGATATTATATCTTCTTTAACATTGCTAGAAACAAAATAAATATCTTGATTTACTTACAATATAAAGCACGGTCGTAAAGAGTGTAGCTTTATTGACAATAATGTACAATCAATACTTATCCCAACATCATCTTTAAAAAAATATTACACTTCTTTCTTCTGATATATGTGATAATTGGTGTAAGTAACGATAAGGGACTAATTTTCATGTTATTCGGAAATATTAAAAATAATTGCAAATCAGGTTACATATTCTCTTTTTCTCGTTCTCGCTCTCTATGTTCACTGTACTTTTATTGAAACTGCCTTGTGATTATTATTAAAAATCGCAACGTTACTTACGCGAAACGGGATAATTTTTTTTCGGTGGCTTAGCTTTGAAATTAAATAATTAGTCTTGACAGCCATCAATCTACCAATAATTTGATTTTGCTGTGTTAATCAAAATGTCTTTAACATCCACTGAAAGAGTAAGAAAACACCGACAAAAAGTAAAGAGACTTAGAATACCTAAATCAACCAACCGAAAATATCAGCAGGAATATAGGGCAAACATAAGAAAAAAGACATTGCGCTATAAAAAAGTTAAGATACATACCATGGAAAATAAAAAGGAGAAAAGCGAGAAAAGCCAAAATGAAAACAAACAAATGGAAATTTCAAATGATGGTAATGTCATCAAGTAAATACATTGTAAATTCGGTAAGTTTGAATATTTTTTCTTTTAGCATTTAATCCTTTTACGTTGACATTACATACATTTGTTTATTTCAACTTATAGAGGCTCTCATAAAAAAAATAAAATCTGCAAAATCAAATTTTATCATTTTCGAAAATGCTGAAAATGTTTCATTGTGTGTACTTCATGGGCGAGGCAAGTTGTATCTAAACAACCTTCGACCAGCTTTTTCTTTTGTTTAAAACACGAATTTGTAATTTTTCTTACTTCCGTGGCAGCTAATATTCACAAATTCGCCTAAGAAACGATGACATCGTGTAAGTAACGCAATTTTTTCTCATTTCAGACATAATCAAAATTAAACTTCTTCTCGGTTTTTGAAAACCCGAAAATTTTAATTTTTTATCAATATAAGTGTTTTGTATGATAATTCACAATTCTATAGAAAATAGAGAAAATGGTTCAAAGATTTCGCCTAAGTAACGCAAACTTTTAATTAAATTTTGACTAAATTAAATATGACTTTAGTAATATCAAATTATTAAGAAACAAGAGAAAACAAATTTCTACGATTAGGTTAAAAAATGAAAGTGTGAAAGCACTTATGTATGAGGACAGTTTAAAATAAAAAAACTTTGCAGAGTTTCGTACGATTTTAGCCTAAATAACGGTAGAATTGCCCCATTACAAAAATAATTAAACTGTAAGTGTTGGCATCAAATCAAAATTGTAATATTTGACATGAGGTTCACACTGTAGTTTAACCGAAGTTGTGAGTTCCTTAACATGTTCTTCATAATCCATGTCCATATTTGTGGCCGAATCTTTCGTTTCTTGACATAATTCATAAACAGCCCTATGTGTATCAGTAATTTTCTTGTTATCTAAGTTGTACATAACTGCAACACAGTACTCTATTAAATACTTCTTAAACTTTACAAACTGTTCAAAACGTTTATCTTCGTCTTTATTATTTTCGGCATCCAGCAAACTATTTTTAACTTCGCTGTCGCTGCAGTTACCCCTAGTGTAATTTATTGTCAGTTCTTTGACGTTGTTTTTATATAGTTCCTCAGCCTTAACTGACAATATACCGTTTTCATCTATATTCATGTAAAATTTAACTTTACATTCCCCCGGAGGTGCCGGCGTTATGTTAGTAAGAGTTAATTCTCCAACAAAGCGGTTCTTTTTTGCATTTAGTCTTTCACCTTCGTATATACAGAAGGTCATACCTGTCTGTAAATTGTTAAGAGTCGTCCAGTCAGTCGCACAACAATTAGTTGGAAGTCGTTGATTCCTTTTAATGACAAATCTCATTTCATCGACATAATCAGGCGTTCCCAACGACAAAGGAGTGACATCTGCCAGATCAACCTTAGAAATGTTCTGTTTAGAACTCTTTGACAAAAGTGCAGCTTGCAAGGCTGCACCTTCTGCAACACACTCATCCGGACTGACAAACTTATTCAACGCTTTGCCGTCAAAATAGTCAGAAATCATTTTCTGAATCTTCGGGATGCGTGTTGATCCTCCTGAAAGTATCACTTCCTTGATAGACGTCTTGGAAATTCCACAATTTTTCATACAGCAATCGACAATTGATATACTTTTTCTGAATAGTTCATCAGCAATCTTCTCAAACTGTTCTCTAGTTAAAGGTATCTGTACGCAAGAATTATTAGAAACGAAACCAATGAGAGTTATGACAGTTTGCTGAACCGCAGACAGTGCTTTTTTCGCATCCTCGCATTTATTATGAAGCCTCCTAAGACTGTCCTTATCAGTTCTTGGATCGTAATTATAATCTCTAACTAACTCTTCGCATACGTAGTTAACGATGAGATTGTCAAAATCGTGTCCGCCCAACTGTGTATCTCCGTCGACCCCGACAATTTCTATATTATTCGTACTTCTTTTCAGGATAGCAACATCAAAAGTTCCTCCTCCTAGGTCGTACACAAGCGAATGATTCGTCTGGCTGCAGTCATTGTCAAAGTAGTAACATAAAGCGGCAGCCGTGGGTTCGTTGAGCAACTTCAAAACTGTGAATCCGGCTTCCTTGGCTGCAGCCAAGGTTACTTCTCTTTGCGTCACGTTGAAATACGCAGGCACGGTAACAACAACTTTGGTTATGGCTTGTCCTAACTTGGCTTCTGCGTCAGCTTTCAATTTCTGAAGAATGATAGCGCAAAGTTGTTGAGGAGTTTTCTCCAAAGTTCTGTTCCGTTGTTGGATGATTATCAAAGGATCGCCTTGATAATCCGACTTTACTTTAAACGGTAGAAATTGCAAGTTCCTTTGAAGATAAGTGTCGCTAAATTTTCTGCCAACCAAGCGTTTTACTTCTACAAATTATGATATTAAAAATTAATATAAATCTACACTTCTTGTACCGTATATTCCGTGGTCTGGTTTGCCGCTGGACATTCGTTTCGCATGTTCTCCGACGATCGTCTCTTGCAGACTGGTGAAAAAGATGAAAGAAGGTGTAATTCTGCCACCGTCACTGTTTTCCAGGATTTTTAGTTTGCCGTTGAGATATACACATACGCAAGAATTGGTTGTTCCCAAGTCAATACCTATGGCTAAATCATCCATTTTGGAAACCTAGAACAAGGCAGTAATCAATGAAAGAATACCCACACTAAAAAGAATACCTTCTTTCTTAGTTCTTCCAATGCTCCAGTAACTTAAAAAACGAACGAACATGCATGAAATGAGTTAAATTAACTCATTACATTTTTTTAACACACCGGTTAAATATATATTTAAACGTTGTTTCGACGACCCCTACAATGAATGCTTATAGCTATAGAAGGTCAGTCAAACAAATTAGTGAATGAAGCAATTTATTTTATTGATCAAATCAAGAACGGATCACCCCATTTTCCCAAAAATATGAGAATACAGTATTTTTAGGTTTACTTACAATCTACTTGTCTATCGAAATTGATATAACGTTTGGTTTTTGCAATTTCAAAGTTAAGTAGAGTAATTGTTATAAACCATAATTATACAATTTTGTTTTTTTTTTCACAAAAATCTGAATATACTGAGGATGAAAACTCAATTCGGATTCATAAACCACACATGTGTAAGCATGCAATTTTACAAAATTCAAAAAAGAAGTATTTATTCCACAGAATTTTAAGATAATCAATTCTTGGAGAGGCGATAAACGAATAAATTTTGATTAACGATTTACTATGCTACTTATAACCTTAAAAGGATTGCAAGATTTCAGAGCATTCGGTTTTGCAATTTCAAAATTTGTATTTTACAACTATACGATTTTGATTTTTTTTCCCGAAAATCTAGATACCTAGTGTAAAACCTCAACACCGATTCTTAATTCACACATGTAGGAGTATGTAATTCTATAAAATTTAAGGGATAATTATTCGGCAAAATGGTAAAATGATGTCATCATTTTTTAAGGGAGCATAAACGAGAAAAAAGTAATTAGCTATTTACCAAGCTTATGATAATCTTGAAATGCTTGTGAGGTTTCAGCGCATTTGGTTTTCTATTTTCGGAGCAAAATTGTAAAATCTTGTTACACAATTTTGACTTTTTTCCCAAAAATCTGGATGTCTGGGATAAAAACTCGATACGGATTCATATAACACACATACACGAGTATGTAAAATTTAAAGAACATTTACCCAGCAAAATTGTAAACTGACGTCATAAATGAAAACAATTTGATTAAAAATTTACCATACTTACGATAACCTCAAAACGTTTGCAAGATTTCACAGAATTCGGTTTTGCAGTTTCAAAATTAAATTGCAAAATTTTGTTTCATAAACCAGATGTGCAGGAGTATCTTATTTTATAAAATTTAAACGATATCTACTAATATAAATTTTTGAAATAACGTCATCTTAGTGTTAGTGGGGATAATTACCCAAATTTTGGTTTGGGTTTTACCATCTATGGCAAACGATGGACGCCAGACAGAGAGAAACGAGTTGTTTTCGTACTCTTGGGGTTATGAAACGTTGAAAAAATATAAAAGTAACCAGTTATCCAATTGACTCGATTATAATACTTCCTTGCTTACGCTCAGAAAATGATTAAGTTTTCAAGATATTTTCATTTTTTACGAGGAAAAATAGTCATTTTTAAAAATTCGCACCTCCACCATTTTCGAAGATGGATGTTTGAAACTTTTAGTCATTTTGCTTAAACGTGCGTATTAATAAATGTAAAGGTTTAAGTTTCAGAAATCAAAAGATTGTCAAACAAGCATATGTAGAGAGATAAATTTAAAAATGCTATAAAATACAGCACTTCTCTTTAGCAAAATATGAGAAAACAATGTGTCAAAAAACACTTAATAAAAAATTATTTTAAAAAATTGGTCGTAGGTTACTTTGACGGAGCTTCCCTTTCCTCTGAAGTACCTACAATAAAACATTTCCAACTTGTTCGAAAAATTATAAATTTGATTTTGCGAAATTTACTTTTTTTAAGAGAACCCCTAAGTACACTGCACTTAGGGGTTCTCTAATAATAATACTGTATTCAAAATTTTCGGAAAAATGGTGTGAGCCGTTCCTGACTTAATCAATAAAATCAATTGATTCATTCTTTTTTTTTGAGTCACCCTGAATAGGCAATTCTAACAAATATAAAAGCAATCACCAGTACAGAGTCATCATTTTTTGCATATTTTAGGGAGGATTTATAAATAAAATTTTAATTAGGATTCATTCGGTTCAATTTTGAGATGACGTCATCAAAATTTTGGAGGGCGTAAACGGATAAATTTTTATTAAAAATTTACAACACTTAGGATAACCTTGAAGCGTTTACAAGATTTCAGAGCATTCGGGTTTGCAGTTGCAAAATACAAATTACAAAATAATGTTGTTATACTTACAATGATAAACTACATGTTCAGGGGTGCCTATGTTATTTTAGAAAATTTAAATAACAATCACTGTAAATTTTGGAGATGACGTCATCCCATTGTTGGTAAGAATGATCAGACAAATTCTGATGAGCGTTTTACAATCTACACGGTATTCCTATCATACGTGTAAAAGTTAACATCTGAAGATCCAGTGGCACCGGTGGTTTCCAAGATTAGATTAGAAGACAGACAGACAGACGGGAAGTATTTTTTCGGATACTAGGAATAATAAAACGTAAAAATAAAAGTAGCCAGCCGTCCAATGGACTCTATTACAATACTTCCTCTGTTTGCCATCGGGAAGTAAAAAGTGCGATACCCGGCCAACAGGTCTTCAAAATAATTGTTGTAATATTTTGTAAATAATACGTCCCCAAAAAAAAGTATACCTAAGCTATCAAAAATCTCACACCAATTCATTTTATAGATCACACAATTTTTAAATTCAAAATTGACGGCAAAATCTTACAAATACTCGAATATTTCCTTTATAAAAAATTCCATCAAACAAAAAACGGAAAACCTGCCTGTCGAGCTGTGGAAGACGAACCTGAATATTCGTCAAAATAAGCCTATTTTTATAATAATTTTCTCAACTATCAATCAGGAGGTGAAAATAAAATTATTTCAAATAAACACTGTACGCACAATCTAAAAAGTATTTCTTCTGACTTGCCGAATAAAATCACAAATTTAACACGAAAACAAAAAATATTATACAAACTGAATTCAAAAAGACTGAAATAAAATCAAGGCCGTTCGAACGACTCGCATCTTTCTAATAAATAACTCGGATCTAATAATATTCGACAAAACAATTGTACGTTCTTGTATTATTAATTTATAGAATGCGCATCTCATTAACTCCGACCCTGATTCAATCGCGAACATCGAAGACGTTAATTACTTACTATTTTTATCCTGATATCTCGCCCACAAAAATGGGCTCATCCGTGAGTCACGCAAAATAAATGTTATGGTGCAATATTACCACCAAATTGATTGGATTAGCAAAAATTAAGAAATAAAATCTTCATCATTGCGATTTTCCTCTACGCTCATGGAAACCGGAAATAGAAACTGCTTCACCGATAAATGTTGATAATTTGACCAAATATAAATAAACAAAATCATAGTCTTAAAACACAAATTAACAATAATCGTCAAAATCATCTTCATTTATAATAATAGTTATAGAAATCGTTACGAATAAAAGGCATACGCATTACGCAGCAGCAATAAACTAATGAAGTGTGATAAAATATAACTACGAACCTCTGCGCTCCTGTTTATCAGCTCACAACCCAGCAACTGTTAGAATGATCTCGCACGCGGGTTTTCCAAGAGATAACTAAATAAAGTGTCTTGGCAAGTGCCGGCGAGGAATACTGTTTTCCACCGACATTCAAACAATGCTACCAATAGATAGTGAACCTTGTGTTACCAATCTATTTCATAATTTTGCTATATATTGCTGAGTATGACAATCACTCAAAGTTTAAGGATAATGTGTTAATGTGTTAATTTAAACAAATCGATCAAGAATATCGAGTCGTCGTTAAAACATGAGGAATCATTATTACTTTTCTCGTAGTTGCTACGAAGTTCTGTCACAGTGTTCTGTTTAGAAGAGTAACGGCAACCAGTTATACGCGGATACTTCACACGTTGAGGATTTACGTAAAATGGAGACGCGCTAATGGAATTGTATCTTCAGATGCATTATTGTTTTTAGAAAATAAAGACAATAAAGAGAAGTGTTGATTTCCCTTTTAAAGAAATTTTTAATTTTGAACTAATAAGAGTGTTGTGACACGTACGTCACTGCTTCTTATAAAATTATTTATATTCTAAATGAAGCTGCTGACTAGGCCACTTCTACGGATTATTGATTTTTAGTGAAACTCATTACTAGAGAGCGGAAAATATGCAGCAAAATTTTGAGAAATATGATGTGATAACCCAAACTTCCCGCCTTAAAATTTGACCTTGAAACAGTTTGAAAGGCCCGCGAAAAATTTAAAAATTCAAAGTTTGGCCTTGGCTGTGATCGTCTAACAAATGAGAACCTACGTTGTGTGTTTTTTTTTTTGTGGTTTTGAAAAAAAGGCGGGAAGAAGTTCTTTCATACAAGTGCATACACTGTCGAGAGCGCAAGAAATAATAGACAAAATTAGGAGCCTTCCTAAGGAGGAAAAAGAAACGAAGAACGACAGACGCTCGATTTGCCCTTCTGGCGAGTCCGCAGGGCCAAGGCATCATCGGTCTTCATTCCCCAAAACCCCCTGGGGTTTTATTCACCGACATATTACATGTCAGACACCTTAAGATATGTGAAAGAAAAACACTTGCGAATTGACAGACATACACATATGAAAACCGAACAAACACAAGACCTACACATATGTAAATTGGATGGCAGAACCCGAATCATTATGAGAGTGTGGCGATCGAACAAAATATAGAGCAAAATATAGCAATTTCATTTACGAGCACAGCAAAATACCCAGAGGGGGCGTTGTAGCGCAAGTAGAGGTTGGGACTCCTGATCGTCACTGTTCTCCCCCACGACGGTGATTCTATCTACACCAACGCCTGCTCACACGCATCTCTCCATTACGAACGTGCCCTGCGAAACGAGGCGGTTACGATCGCAGATCCGTAGTGGGGTCTCGACTATTGGGCCAAGTCGACAGCGTTAAAGACCCACGATCGCCCCCTGAAGCTATACAAACCCGCGGATTTGTGCAGGTGCCGCGATTGATCCCGTCAGTTTGAGAAGGAGTCGCGCGCCCCAAGTACACTACGAGTTATGTGTTATTTACTTCAATTTCATTTAAATGTTCAATCTCTATGACTCTAATATTAAATTACAACCGAACAAGTGTTAAAGTTTCAACCAAGAGCAATAAACAACATTTAAATTCGCCATACACTCTTACGGAAATTCAGTCAACAAATAATTCTTACTTGGGATTAAATTTGGACATCAGATAATTTATATGAGAGAAACATTCCTCAACAAAATATTTACATGAGCAAAACTTAGCAAAGATTTATAAAATAAAGATCTGGTGTGAAATAAGCTTGTGCAAATAAAATATTATGTTAGGTCAAAACTGTAGAACATGGAAATTTACGTTCAATTAAAATTATACAACAAGGAAAATTACTGAGGCTAAAATTGTGAGACAAAGACAAATTGCATGAGGTGAAAGATTGTAGAGTTAACAGATTTACATGTGATTAATATTAATTCGTGTCCAGTCAAGTTATTGGTTAAAATTCAAACGTGAAATTATTTAGCTGCATTGTGGGCCATTATTACACATACATTTCCCCAAACAAAACACATAAACAAACATGGCAGACAAGCTGCAGTTGCAAAATGGCGTTGGACGAATTCGTCATTCCAAATAATAGGCGTCGAAAATATGCGATGCAAAATACGATGAATCCTGTGGCGTTGTATAAACGATGTGCTAAATCCAAAGAATAAAAGGCACGTCCCCCCATGACCCACAATGTTGTTATTTTGTTCAATAGATTCAGTTAAAACATGTGCTCGATTAAAAGAAACAAATGGACGCTTCAAAATGGCCGCTGCCTGAACAAAGAACGGTGAGAATAACAACTCGTTTGCCGCCATCCAAAATACAGATTTCACAAATATAGCTAAATAAAGCATGGCCCGAACTAGAAATCACTTCCTGTAAAGCCCTACTGCGATGGATTTTAAATGAAAGATAAAAAAACGAGATTAGTGGAAAAACAAGCGCACGCGTCGCTGCGTCACGAGGTCAGAAGCATCGTCGGGGCTTGAATCTCGCGGCGAAACAGGTGTTCAAAACATACCTCTCCAAAGATGCGAAGATTTCGACACGGCTTACCGCCAACAGGAACACAAAAACCTCGTCGTAAGAACGGTGAGAAATCAGGAACACCCAATGGCTCAACGGTGGCTGCTAGGTTTTCCAATGGGACAGATCAACACTGGAAAAACAAAACACAACAGCAAAAAGCACAGAATAATTCACAATTAAAAATACAACCTGTTGCTCGAAGCGCTCGAAAGAAAGTCGACCGTTCTCTCGAAGCGATGAAAAGGAAGTGACTCATCTCTCAAGACAATACCACCTTCGCTTTGCGCACGTCTGTTTCTTTGGGGTGGTTGGTTGCCAACCTCTCCTTCTTCTCACTAACCGTTTCTTGTGCGCGCGGAATTCGTTTGAAATTTAAAAATTCGAATTGGATCCTTACAATGATCATATGATATGCACCAAATTTATGCAAATATGCAGTAACTTTCTTAATATATGCACAGATATGCAGTTGCATATGCTCCAAAAATTAAAAAAAAGCTTAATAAGCGAACTGAATTTATTTATAAAATTCAAAAACAGGTTTCCCGAGCTTACGTTTTATTACAAAAAATACATAAATCGCATTGCAAAGTGTTTAATTACTACTAATTACACTAACACATAAATCACGTTTTAAAAGATAATATTCTTATACTAAAAAATAAATATAAACAGATCAAATTAAAAAATAGTAGTAATCCACTATTTAATTACTATTTTGGTAACAATTTATTTTTAGATATTTTTCGAAATATTCTAACAAAAAATTTTTCCGGTGATTCTAAAGTAAATGTATTTGTAAATAGAAAAACTGCGTACTCCGTCCACAGATGTAAAAATACTTACCGGTTTAGGGTAGGCGCGACAAAACATAGTTCGTTCTTGAAGAAGTTCAGGAAAAGATTTAATCCATAAATTAATTTGAGTTATCTTCGACATATTGATACACCTGTATCCCTTTAAATGCTTTCAGTACAAACTCACGATGAAAAATAATAGTATAACGTCCATTCGACCACCACTAAACGTACCATTAATACACTTAACTAACGAACAAAATATTGGGAATGAACGGTATTTCCAAAAGTAATTAGGGCGCGAATTTACCTGGAAGGATGCCTAACACCCAGTGGTGTCTCCAAACTACCATAAAACCCAAACCATTTCTAGTTATTTGAAGCTCAGGACAATATTTGCAACATGATTAATAAAATTTCGTCTTTCTAGATAAATTCCGATAGAATGACAATCATTTTTTTTTTTCAAATTAGCACAAAAATTGATAAAAATGCAAAATATGCACCCGTTTCGTGAAATATGCAGCAGAAGGCAAATATATGCAAATATGCAATTTTTTTATAGCTGTATTCATTTTTAATTAGCATGATTCGTTCACATATTAAATATCAAGACTTATATGCAAAAAATAACGCATATGCAAATTTCATAAAATCCGCTCTCTACTCATTACATATACTACCCACATTTTTTATTTAAGTTTAAAGTGAGTTATTCAACTCAAGAACCACTTTTCTGCTTTAAGGAAAATTGGTTAATGTTATTTTTAGTAGGTAATGTTAGCAAGGACCAAATTTTATTATGACATCTGCAACGTCTGTGGTGTTAATGTCTTTTTATTTTTGTGGGTGCAAGTAGGTATGCTTTAACTTTCTAAAATAAAACCCCGATAAAGCGAAATAACTCCCACCACAATTAGATTTAATAAAATGGTGTTAGAGTACTCCTGTCCAAAACGAATGATAAATTTGATAACCCCCAAAATAAAAGTTTGTCTGGAATTATTTAGCAGAATTGTCCTCGACTCGTAAGTACAATCAAACAAATCCAGTCTCTTGGATAAGTTATAAACTTATAAAATATGATTTTGCGAAGTTTGTGTATTTTTTAAAGTTAAAATAAGAATACGTGTAGATTATAGAACTACAGATATAAAGAAGCATGTTTCAAGTAAGTTTTTCGCAATAACATTTTATGATGAGGTGATCAACTTTTTAGCAAGAACAAAAGAAACCTCTGCATAAAACGTGATGTTTAAAACGCAGGACAATTCGCAGAATTTTAGAAACGGTCCGCGTATATTCTGTTGTGTACAATATTCCTAAAATATATATAAAATTTCGTAACAATTAGTTCCATAGTTTCAGAGATTATCTCTAGGGATTATAAAACATCGAGAAAACCTGAAGTTAACAATTCGTCAAATATACTATCATAAATTACAAGGAACAGAGTTGAATTTTGTAATTAATACTTAGCTCGACGGTAGATTTTGTTTTAGAAAATACAAAATACATTTTCAACATATGACTTAATATATTGTTACGAAATAAACCTATACGCCGGCCCGGTACGACGCCTATGGGTTTTTTAGTATGTACGTACTTATGTACTTAATCAATGATACGGTGGTGAGCGGTTGTGACTCATCATCGGTGACGGCGACGTTCGAATACAGAAAAGCTTAAATGCGGTGCCGAAAGTCTCGATGGCAAACTCCAGAATAACCTTGAAGCTCGCGAATAGAAGAACGTATCACGATTTAAATAGGGATCACCGCCGAGAACGAGTCAGTTCGTGAGAGAATTAGAGATTAGAGTGTAGTCTAATCCAACAGAGGCGATAAATAAGTATACAAATTTCATTCGAGATACACCCACATAAAACTTTATGACAGATAATGAGTGAAACCCCTGCACAATGGCAACGGTAATTTATTGCTTTTAACACCCTATGCGACCAGATATCGGCACGTTCCGGCAGAATTTTTCAGGGCCGTACTCTGTTAAAAAAAATAAGGTGAAATAATAAACAAATTGTAATAGTTAAATAATATTTATAAGTTTATAATTTCAGACTCAGATGAGTCGTTATTTATTGAAATTATAATTTCGTTAGACCGTGTATTTACAAATGTGGATTCAACTTTTATAACATGCCGAATACAATTCTGCCATTTTTCAGAAGATATGAGTTCTGATTGTTGTCTAATGAGATTTACTACAGCGGGAGAACTTTCTGGATTGTTATTATATTTTCTAATATTATCTCTATAACATTACCGAAAGCAGGTAAAACTTTCAACTCAACCCGAATACGGCTCTGTATAAAATGACCTGTCAAGCCTTTTTCATAATTTATGGTTGCGGTTTCAGGAGCACCGCTTTTTGAGTGATTGGTCCCATAAAAATTTATGTGGGGGTATCTCGAATACCGTCGGCCGACTCTCTACTTTTACGTTTTCTCGACCTTTGATTACCCATACAGGATGAAGAAATAGGTCTCCCGTTTCCGTCTGTCTGTCTGTCCGTCTGTGCGTCTGTCTGCCGGATTTTTATTGGACAGATAATCTCCGAAAGTACTAGGCCGATTGTTGTCAAATTTTGTATTTATATTAGGTATATCATGTAAATGGTAAAACACTAACCAAAATTTGTCTAATCATCCCCACCACTAATGTGATGCCGTCACTTCAAAATTGTACATAGTAAATGGGTTTTAAATTGTATCAAATAACATAGTCTTACACATATAGAAATTTTACCCAAAACGTCCAGATTTTTGAAAAAAAATCAAAAGTAGTAAACACCATTTTGACATTTAATTTGGAATGTGCAAAACCCAATGCTTTGAAATCTTGCAGATGGTTTACAATTATGATAAGTTTTTATTCAAAATATATTTACTTGTTCCCTCCAAAAAATTGATGACGTCACCTGGAAAGTTTGCCGAATAAATCCTATCTAAAATGTAGAAAATATGATGAGTCTGTACTTGTAGTTTGTCATTCCATTCATATTTTTTGGATTTGCACATACAGGGTGACTCAAAAAAATTAATGAATGCGTAAATTTATTTTATTGATTTAATCAGGAACTACAAAACCAAATGCTTTGAAATCTTGGAGATGTTTTAAAGTTATCATAGGCATGGTAAATTTTTGATCAAAATATATTTGCTCATCCCCCCCTAAAAAATTGATCACGCCACTCCAAAATTTTTCCAAAAAAATGGTATCTTAAATGTGCATTATGCAAAGTATGATGAGTCTATAATTGTGATTTATCACTGCATAAATATTTTTTAGATTTGCTTATACGGGGTGTGTGAAAAAAATTAATGACTGAGTCCATTTATTTTATTGATTAAATCAGGAATTGCAAAACTGAATACTTTGAAATCTTGACGTTTTTAAGTTATTGTAAGCGTGGTAACTTTTTAATGAAAACGTGTCTGTTTATCAACCCCAAAAAATTGATTACGGCATTTCAAAATTTTGCCGAATAAATTCTTTCGCAAATGTGCGAAGTATGAACAGACTTTTAATCATTGCATTCAAATTTTTTAGATTTGCTTAGACAGGTGACTCAAAAAAATTAATGAATCAGTCAATTTATTATTGATCAAATTAAGAACGAGCCACCCTATTTTCTGGAAAATGTGAGAATGCGCTCGTCTTTATAACAATAAGATAATGATAAGGTAAGAATTATAATAATAACATTCAGAATATTTTGTTCAGTGGAGGATTTTTGGGTCGATAAACTCATTCAAATGAAACAAATGTCTACATGACATTCTTCCGATGTAATGTATTCCCGTTGATAATGTGCTGTTAATAAATTTTTTGCACTCATAACCTTTTTTGATGACCTTGGCGCATTCAACAGCAAGCGGGACGTCGAACATCACGCACAGATGCGTTTTGCTATCACGTCGTTGTTTATAAATCAAGCTAAGCGGTCGAAATTTATTCATCCTATCTACCCATCTGAAGTGCGGCCGGTGCATTCTTTCCTTAGTCGCTTCTCGCTTTCCAATTGTGCATAATTTTTAATAAATTACAGAAATAGTTTTATTTTCAGCGAGGCCGACACTTGAAAATTATTAAAAATATTAGTATTATTATGTCGTGGATATAGATTTTAAAATCATCAACTGACGTTCAATTAACGTTAGTTTTCTCATACAGTGGCAATGTTCCTCTTGTATGCAATAAAATTGTATGATGGTTTAAGCCAGTTAAATTCACAGTGGTTCATACCCACCATAAATTGTAATTTCAAAACCGGATAAGTGGAAGTAACCAGGGCGGTTCTTAGCTACCCTTCTTCTGGTTAAACAAACATTTTTTTTTATTTTTCCTATACGTTTGTGATGAATCAGATTATATTAAGGTCGAGAAAAATATCAAATTTAGTAAACCTCAGATTAATACAGAGGTTTATATGATCTTTGTTTTAATAAATCCACAATATACAATGATTTTATCATATTGGTTTTCGCAGTTATTATTTGTCCTGATAGTACATTTAGAACACTTTTTAATAAAAGAAAAAAAATAAATTACACTTTATTCATAGTTTGCTTGTACAAATTTTCTGCATCCACTCGTTTGTTTTGCTTCAATAAACACGAAGCTAAATTTTTAACAGTCTTAACCACACTAGCATCATTGGGTCCAAACCGTTTTTTATAAATCTCCAGTGCTCTCAGATAATATTTTTCTCCCTCTTCAAAAGCACCCTAAAAAAGAATTAAAATAGTAAATTTTCAGACCAACTGTCGTCAATAAACAGTACGAAAATTCAAAAAAGCAAAAATCAAAAGTCAAACACTCGACTGACAATTTGTTCAACGTCGAAATTTAAATTAATCACGTTTTACAACCAAAAAGCAAATTATTTTGGCAAAAAAGTATACAACCTGGTTCTGACAAAGCAACGCAAGATTGCTAAGCTGCTTAGCCACGTCAGGATGATCCGCCCCAAGAATTTTTTCCCTGATGTACAAAGCTCTTCTACACATAGGTTCCGCGTCTTTGTATTTTCCTCGTTTAGCATACAACACCGCAAGATTATTCAAAGTAGCCGCAACAGCGGGATGATGTTCGCCCAGCGTCTTTTCACGAATAGCCAGAGCATCCTTTAATAAGCTTGCAGCTTCTATGTTTTTGTTCTGATCTCGGTACACTAGAGCTAGAATGTTCAACATGGTAGCAACGTCAGGGTGATCATGACCGGTCGTTTTTTCTAGATTATCCAAAGTTTCTTTACACAGAGGAATTGCTACTTCGTATCGTCCTTGAGAAGCATACTTAATCACAAGGTTGTGTAAGACACGAAGTCTGACCGAAATTTCGAATTCGGGATTCACTTCTTGAAAGAACCTTTGTTGAGAATGCACTGCAATTAGTAGTAGAGATTTTATCAGAAATAGGCTATATGAAGGTTAACTTACCGTTGGTATTGTGGTTGTCGTCTTCTTGCAGAAGATCCAGTGAACATTCAACTAATTGTTCTGAAGTGTGTTGCTCGGTAGAATTTGAATTACATGTCTCAACTGAATATTTTGTTTCGAGGTTCTCTTTTTCTTTTTCTAGTTGTTTTACTTTGTGATCACTGGCTTCTAACTTTTCTTGAATCACAGTTAATTCTTCTTGCAAAGCCGTATTTTCTTCACACAAACGACATACCTGTTTGATGATGTCTTGTTTATTTTCTTCGGTTAAATGTAAGGGCTTTATCTCTGCCATTATGGCTTAAGCAAATGGCAACTAAACACGGGAAAATAATACGTGTTTATAAACTCACTGTTTTCACGGATGTAGAAATTTATCAAAGATATAAATGCAGATTAATATGTATTTCCTAATACAAAATCGACAAAAACAACTGATATGAATGATACATTTTATAAGAATTTTTTGCTCGTTGTTATTCTAGGTAATAATCTACAACGCAGTGATAAGTGAGATAAAGTTTAATGAATAATCGCTATCTCTTAGCTCTATTGTGAATCAAAGGTAATCTACTCAAACAATACCTTAAGATAAAAATCTATGCTGCGACGAAACTCCGGGTAACGGTGACGGTCCGGAATTTTGCCGATATCCCCTGGGGGTGGCGTGCCTCAATTTTAAGCCTTGGGCCGACTAGTGCCGCTGAAAAAGTAACAAGTCTGGTCGACCTACAGTATGTTTTAGCTACAGTACTACAACTACAATAGTTTTCTTGCGAAATTAATCCGTTCAACATTTTTTTAATTTCTTCTTAATACTTTCAACTTTTTCTACAATTTCTTTCAACACTTTGGCGTTTTCATTACACCCACTTGCTTCTTCCATATTAATTCTGTCAAAATCGCTCAAAACTGCTTCCAAATTTTCCAAAATTTTTGCCAACACCCTCGAAATTGTTATCGTTGGAGAACGTATAAACAAATTCGTTATTAAAACCGCTAGATCTTCCTTGTCTTGACGACACATCAACGCTTTATGGCATACATTAAGCTTCTGGGCATAAGCAGCTACAGTATTTAAAATATCTTCGTACTCGTCTTGATTTATTTGATTAAGTTCCATTCGCTTTTGTATATTTTTAAAGTACTTTTTTATTTTTACGACTTCTTCATCAGCTAAACACAACCATATTTATTGTACTTATTGTCTTAGAAATTAGTTCTAGTTTCTAATACCTGTGATTTTATAATGGAAGCTTCCATATCGTGATGTTTCCAGACTATGGAGTTTGCGCTTTGCTTGCAAAATAAGATCCTTTATTCGATCATTCCTTTCGCTGTAGTTGTTTTCTAGTTTCGTCGAATAAAGGAACAGAGCCTCAGAAATTTGACGTTTAACGTAATAGTGTACTTTTCCTTCTTCTTCGTCAATTCTAATTATAAGGTTAGTTACAGTGTCTTCAATTGTTTCGTTTTCCGGTCTTGAGTTACACGTACCCATTCTAAAATAAAGAAAAAAATACTCATAAGCGCATACAAAATCGTTTTTACACATAACTGGAAAAGAAAAAATAAATATAACACGGTTTTAAAAGCCCATTGTTTTTCTAACTTTTTGCAGTTTTTAATTTTTCTTTAATTATCTGTTACATACATATTGTTGTTTCATATGTTTTTATCATAGTAAATATTTAATTTACATACAATTTTTATTAAAAAATAAATTTAAAACAACTAAAGATATTCTTACCTGTGAAATGATGAATCGAGTAGATGTAGAGTGGATAGTATGATACTGTTTTTGCCCTCGACTTTATTATATTGGTGTTAGACACAAACTCAAAAGATACTGCTCATACCTGATAAGTTTCTGTAGTTGTAGTGATAAACCCTAACACCACAGCAAGACTGTTATGAAATAACTACGACTTACACCATCTGAATACAATGGTTCAGAACACTTTTTGTTTAGTTTATATTGTTTAAATTTTTGGGTATCCTTCAGATAAACAGAAAAATGTTGCTCCTTTACAAAAACATACTACCGATGTGGTAAACCTTGAATGTCCCCAATAGTTCAAGACACGTCTTTAAACCACGCCACTTTCACATAAACTTCCGATGATGGCTTTGCATATTGTATGTAAATGACAACCACTAAAAGATTTAATTTTGTACGTGCAAAGCAACACCAATTAAAAAAAAAGGCCATAAAACACACTACGTAGTTTGGATGATGAAACATGTATCTTTATACTTACCTAAGTATTTGGCGTTTTTTCACTGTGTAGTCAAAAAGATATTGTAACTTAAAAATATAAATAGTTTCGGTATTGGTAAGAGGCTCTTCTAGTTTATAAGTTAGAGGATTAAGTGAGTTAATTGTAAAATATTTTAACTTTCATTCATCAGAAGAGTAGCAGAGATCTAAAAACCTGTAGTGTATGTATATACTCGTATATAAATATAAATGCACTAAAACAACAGTATCTAAGAGTTTGATTAATTTATCACAAAATAATTTCATAGCGTTTAACTGTTTTTTCAAAATTAAGAAAAAAGTCACATATTTTATTTTACTATATTTAAACAGAAATCAGCTTCTTTTTAAAATTGCATGCTTATTATTATTACAGTTCTGCTCTTATAGACTGTCTAATAGATATTGCAGCCATTGGTCTTGCATTCCCCACATTTCATATTTTGCACAGAAATGGTGCTATTTTTCTCAAGTTCTTTTTCAATTAGAGCTGCCACCAAAACATCGCACATACCTTCCGGTACACAGCCTTTAACCATAAAGTCTGTTGCACGTCTGTCTAGAAAATTTAAAACATAACTTATTGTTACAAGTGTAATTGGCATCCCTGCCATTTAGTGAGAATTAGTTAAGTTGGCAATGACCAAGATTAATGTACTGTGTATTTAGGTACTTGTAGAATGTTACACATGTTTAGTTATTAAAGTTATAATTACAACAAGCCTCTTTCTTTAACAAATGAAACATGGTGTCAGTGTGGGATTAATAATAATGGATTATTAGGAAAACGATCAGCCACCTAAACAAATACAACAGATGGATGTATCGTAAGTGCAAGTTCCAAATTGAGGTTAGGATAACCACGTGCAAATTCAAATACTGCAAATTCACAAAAATCCAAGTCATCTGAAGAAAGTAACAATAAATACTAACATGGCACAAGAAATGGGAATGTTTCGAAGGCCCCCAGAGTTGGATTTTTCAACAAACGTATCGTTCAAATGGGATTTATGGAAACAACAATTTGAACTTTTTCTAATGGCAATTTCGAAAGAGGGCGAGACAGAAAAAAGGAAAATAGCGATCTTTCTCAACGTAGTAGGGGAAGAAGGAGTAAAAATTTACAATTCCTATAAATTAGGTGAGCAAGCAGACTTAACTCTCGCAATTGTTTTAAATAAGTTCGGAGACCATTGCAAACCGAGAAGAAATGTGATCTACGAGAGGTACTGTTTCCTGAAAATAAGACAAAAGGAAGGACAGAGCTTTGATGCCTACGTAACTGAATTAAAAAATGCAGCGATGAAATGTGAGTATGGCGACCAACAAGACTCAATAATTAGAGATCAAATTATATTTAACGTAAGAGAAACACGGCTACAGGAACAACTAATTAACGAAAAAAATATTACGTTAGAGAAAACACTAGAAAAGTGCAGAAGTGCCGAAATAAGTAAATTCCAAATCAACGAGTTTTCCAAGGGAAATCAGCATTCAATGGCAAATGTGTCAGCGATCAACAAGAAAAAACAACCAATGAAACAGATGAAAACTGGGAAACCAACTACGAAAATAATAAATAATTGTAGAAATTGTGGACAAGTAAGTCACCCAGTAAACAAATGTCCAGCGTTCAATCAAACATGTAGGAAATGTAAGAAGCCAAACCACTTCGCAAAAGTGTGCAGAAGCAAAACCAACAGCAACTATAGCGTCCACGAAATAGAAGATGAAGAGGTTAATATGAGCAGTCTGCAAGTTCTAAATCTAAAGATCGAGGGAATCACTGCGGAAGAAAACACTTGGTACGAAGAAGTAGAAATTCAAGGTCAAAAATTAAATTGCAAAATTGATACTGGTGCTCAAGTATCAGTACTTCCGTATAATGACTTCAAATCACTGAACACGAAGAAGAAATTGCAGCCTACAAATGTCACACTAGTAGCGTATGGAAATAAAAACTTCAAAATTACTCCAGTTGGACAAGTGACACTGAAACTGAAAGTTGGAAATCAAATAGCAGAAGTTAATTTCGTTGTCGTTAACCCTAGTTCTGGTGCTATTCTTGGGTTACAAGATTGTCTAAAATTGCAATTAATTTCCAGATCAACCAAAGTAAATGAGCCACAGAAGTACATTCACGAGTTAACAATGGAAATGGTTACTGAAAAATACAAATCAATCTTCAATGGCATTGGAAAAATTCCAGGAACACATCACATCACTGTAAGCTCAGAAGTCAAGCCAGTAATTAATCCACCAAGACTGGTCCCTTTAAGTCTACATACAAGATTGAAAACAACTTTGGAAAAATTCAGCAAAGAAGGAATCGTCAGCAAAGTCAGCAAACCAACGAAATGGGTGAATAATTTGGTAATCATCGAGAAACCAAATGGTGAACTACGCCTGTGCCTTGATCCAAAAGATCTGAACACTGCAATTCAGAGGGAAATATATCAAATTCAAACACCGGAAACCATCATTGCACAACTAAGCAACAAAGAATATTTTTCCGTCTTCGACATGTGTCAAGGGTTTTGGCAAATTGTTTTGGATGAAGAAAGCTCCGAGTTATGTACGTTCAATACACCTTTTGGTCGATATAAATTCAATCGTCTTCCATTTGGTCTAAAATCCAGTCCAGAGGTATTCCAAAAGAAAAATGAAGAAATGTTTGGAGATATCCCAGGAGTACACGTGTACTTTGATGACATTATAATCTCAGGTGAAGATGAAAGAGCGCATGATCGTAATTTGCAATTGTTTTTAAATAGAGCAGCTCAAAACAATGTTAAATTAAATTCAACCAAAGTTCAATTTAAAGTAAAAACTATTCGTTATTGTGGTCACATTATTAGTAAAAATAGTGTAGCAATGGATTCAAAATTCACTAAAGCAATTACTGAACTTCAAATTCCTAAAGACAAAAAACATTTGTTAAAATTTCTTGGTATGCTTAAGTATCTAAGTAAATTCATACCGAATATGTCCCAAATTTCAGCTCCATTGCGTGAATTAACTAAAGAAAATACACCATTTCAATGGGATGAAATTCACACAGAAAGTTTCAATAAACTAAAAGCTATTATAGCCAAACCACCAACATTAGGTATATTTACTAGTAATCAACAACTAAAAATACAAACTGATGCCTCAAAAGATGGAGTAGGTGCAGTTTTATTGTCCAATAATCAGCCCATAGCATTTGCATCTGCAGCTTTAAGTTCTAACAAACAAAATTGGGCACAAATTGAAAAGGAAATGTATGCTATTGAATTTGCTTGTAAAAAATTTCATTATTATACCTATGGTAGACATGTTATTATTAATTCTGATCACAAACCATTAGAGTCAATTTTCAAAAAAGGAATAAACCAAATTTCTGCTAGGCTACAACGCATGCGATTACAATTGCTCAAATACGAAATAACTGTTGAATATTTGCAGGGTTCACAAATGTTTGTTGCAGATTATTTATCCAGATCGTTTTTAAATGAGATAGAACCTGATAGTGTAGATTTTACAGTTCACACACTACAAAAGGAAATTGTAATTTCAGATGAAAAGCAGAACCAAATTAAAGAAGAAACAAAAAATGATCAAGATCTAAAACAAATTTTACATTTTTATGAACATGGTTGGCCTAATAATGTTAAACAATATTCAAAGATAGTTAAACATTTTTGGAAAATTAAACATGACATTACAGTTAATAATGGTATTATATATTTTAATGAACGAATTGTAGTTCCTCAATCGTTCCAAAGTTATATGTTAAAAATTTTACACGAAACCCATCTAGGTATAGAAAAAACCAAAGCTAGAGCTAGAGAAGTATTGTATTGGTTAGGCATGTGTAAAGACATATATGAATATATATCAGGCTGTGAAATGTGTGAGAAGTTTAATAGAAATCCGCAAAAGGAACCTCTTATGTCGTATGAATGTCCAACGCGACCATGGTTTCGAATTTCAGCTGATATAGCTTATTATGCTGGTAATGAGTATCTTGTTGTGATTGACTCATATAGTAAATGGATTGAATTGAAAAAGTTGAAATATAAAGATTCTCATGAGTTAATCAAGCATTTTAAAGAAATTTTTTCACGACAAGGTATTCCTGAAGTCCTTATTGCAGATAATATGCCATTTAACAGCTTTAATTTCAGAAATTTCGCGAATCAGTGGAATTTTAAAGTCATTACTACTAGCCCAAATTATCCGCAATCTAACGGACTAGCTGAGAAAGGTGTAGGAATAGTAAAAAATTTGTTTCGAAAAAATACTGATATAGACTTAGCATTGTTAGAGTATAGGACAACACCAATTGTAACTTTAGGATTTTCACCAAGTCAGTTACTAAATAATAGACGTTTAAGATCAAAATTACCTGTCAATAACAAATTATTAAATACTGAAAATATAAACCCGAAATATGTACATGATAAATTAAAATCTAGTCAGATAAATCAAAAAAAGTACTATAATAGAAGTGCAAAAACATTGTCTTCATTTGAACCGGGTCAAAATGTGTATGTAAAGAATCATAACAATTGGGAAAAGGGAAAAGTAGAAGATAAGTACGACACACCGCGGTCTTATATTGTAAAAACTGAGCAAGGTCAAGTGTTTAGGAGAAATAGACGTCACCTTCGTGAATCGAAAAAGGAGTTTGTTCCGCGTGGTAATGTTGTCGATCCAATTTCTGATTCTGAAAATGAGACATGTACCCCTAGTATGAATAATTCGACCCCTTTTAAAACTGTGTCATCCCCAACAAAAATTAATAATGATGTAAATGTATGTTCAGGTAAGGAACCTGTAAGTCGACCTCACAGAAATAGAAATATGCCATCCAAATACAAAGATTATGAAGTGTACGGTGTTCCTTCAACCTTAAAATAGTTTTGTAAACTTAGTGAGGTGGGTGTTACAAGTGTAATTGGCATCCCTGCCATTTAGTGAGAATTAGTTAAGTTGGCAATGACCAAGATTAATGTACTGTGTATTTAGGTACTTGTAGAATGTTACACATGTTTAGTTATTAAAGTTATAATTACAACAAGCCTCTTTCTTTAACAAATGAAACACTTATAGAATCAAAAAACAATATTTTCTTACTTGTGGTTACAACCATTTTAAAACATCTTAGATCAAAATCTAAACCATTGTCGGCTAAATTATATTTCTTTCCAATTTTAGCCAAGTAACTGTTGCACTCTTCGTAATAGACAGGTCTTCTTACAACAGACAATGGAATTGTGCCATCGTCCGTGTAACAACTTAAACTGAAAACTAGAACAGTATTTTCATTATTTTGTTAAGAAAAATAACAGAATTTATCTCACCAGACTCCGCTAACAAGAAAACCACAAGTGTCCCAATGAAGCACTTCATGTTGAATTGCTATAAGATGTATGATGTTGTCCTTATTTCCTCGGGTTTTTATAACTGCTCTTGTATATTTGTTGTGTGAACGTCATCGGATTTTCTAAACCCATTGACCTAAGTATTAAATTTGTGTTGCATCTAATGACCTATCGAAAAACCCAGTTTTATCGCAAGGATGTTAACTTGAACATCCGCAAAATATTAATTTAAATAAATTACAATAATTTTTTACTTCCTGAGCGTAATTAATTTTTGAGTCAACCTGTGTAAGTAAACTTTAAGATGACGCCATCAATTTTTTGGGAAGGGATAAACGAATCAATTTTGATTAACGATTTACTGTGATTGCGATAACTTCAAAACGTTTGCATTTTGGATTTCAGAGCATTCGGTTTTGCAGCTTCAAAGTTAATATGCAAAATGTTTTCATACAATTTTGTTTTTTTTACAAAAATCTGGATCTCAACACAGATTCATACACCATAAGTGCATGAGTAACTTATTTTATAAAATTAGAAACAAATTTACTATTAGATTTTAGAGATGACGTCATCCCAACGGTGATAGAGATGATTAGCCAATTTTTTTACCATCTACATGGTAGTTCCAATATATATATAAAATTTGACAACAATCGGTCTGGTGGTTTCGGAAATTATCTGTCTAATAAAACTCAACACAGACAGACAGACAGACAGATAGACGAACAGACAGATAGACATAGAGACAGGCGAAAACGGGAAACCACATTATTCGTACTCTAAGGGCCCTGAAACGTCGAGAAAACATGAAAGTGGCAAATTGCCCAATAGACTCGATTACTATACTTCCTTAGCTTACGCCCAGGGAGTTAAAATAACCAAACTAACGAACAAAAAAAAAATTAAACTAGTGCAACTTAACTAAACTTAATTCTAATAATCCATTTTCGCTGCGACAAAAATAAGTGTCAAGAATTTTGATGACAGAATTAGAGAGATATTCCACAGTTTTTGTACTATTATTTGGTGATTAATAGAGAGCGGAAAATATGCAGCAAAATTTTGGGAAATATGATCATATGATATGCATCAAATTTATGCAAATATGCAGTAACATTCTTAATATATGCAGAGATATGCAGTTGCATATGCTCCAAAAATAAAAAAAAAATCCTAATAACCGAACTAAATTTATTTACAAATTACAAAAACAGATTTCCCGAGCATACGTTTTATTACAAAAAAATACATAAATCACATTGCAAAGTGTTTAATTAATTCTCACTAACATATAAATCACATTTTTAAAGATAATATTGTTGTACTAAAAAATAAATATAAACAGAAAATATAGTAATCGACTATTTAATTACTATTTTGGTAACAGTTTATTTTTAAATATTTTTTGAAATATTCCAACAAAAAGTTTTTCCGGTGATTCTAAAATATAATTTTGTAAGTAGAAAAAGTGCGTACTACGTCCACAGATGTATAAAAATCCGTACCGGTTTAGAGCAGGCGCGACAAAACAGAGTTCCTTCTTGAAGAATAAGTTCAGGAAAAGGTTTAATCCATAAATTAATTAGAGTTATCGTCGACATATTGACACACCTGTATCCCTTTAAATGCTTTCAATGCAAACTCACGATGGAAAATAATAGGGTAACGTCCTGTCGACCACCATAAAACATAACATTAATACAATTAAGTAACGAACAAAAATATTGGGAATGAAGGGTATTTCCAAAAGTAATTAGAGCCCGAATTTACCTGGAAAAATGGCTTAAGGCTCTTCCTTACAGTCATTAAAATCTGCCGAAATACGGCAAAACGCCACTTCCAATATCATCCTTACTATAGCACTTGAAGACTTGTGCGACATATCTATTTGTTCGTGATACAAAAATCTTCATGGAAATAGTTTTTATATTGCATTAAGGGCTTCCGTTTTTTTAATAAAAAATAAAAACAGAAAAACTTATTTTTCTCTTTGAGCCAAAACTATAACGTATTTTGGCTTAAAAAAATCTGACAGTGTAGATAATATTATTGCTCACCTGGGGCTAATAATTATTTTTTCGTTAAACTATCCATTTTTTAGTTATTGTTGATTAAAGCAAGACCTAAAAAGGGCATTTTTTCTAAATGTAGGCAACCAAACATCTTCTTTGGTCAAGAACGAGCCAAGAAAGTGTATGATTTACGATAGGGGTTGGCCACTATTGAGAGATTATACGGATTTAATACCTTTGTTGAGAAAATATGCAAATGAGGTGACCGTAGTGTGTTCTACCTGAAGGTTGTGGAATCGTACAATTATGTAGGAGTATTATATTAATCTAATTTCAGAATAACAAATAAATAAAAAAAAAATGGAAAATTATTTGGAAAAATTTTATTTAAAAGCCATGCTCCCAGAAATTATTGATTCACGATGGAGTCGAAATCAGCAGCTTCGTCCTATAATAAAAAAAGATTTATGATTTACAGACCATTATTTATTTTTATATCATTATATTTATTATACTCTATCTCAGTCAAAAAAATTTATATACATTTTTAAATTTAGAAGAGGCTATAATATGTATAAAGATAAGTAATTCAACACATACATTGGATTATTAGTGTCACATATAATCGAATCTTCATTGTGTGCTTTGGAAAAAGTTGTTCTATTCTTTTCTTTTTCAGTGATTGATAATTTTAAAATTTGTCTAATTTATCTCACATTTGGGATCAGCAGTAATTATAGCTGTTGAAACAAGTTAGGCAGTTTTGTAAAAAATCAAAACTCGGTTATTTATTTGTTATTCTGAAATTAGATTAATATAATACTCCTACATAATTGTACGATTCCACAACCTTCAGGTAGAACACACTACGGTCACCTCATTTGCATATTTTCTCAACAAAGGTATTAAATCCGTATAATCTCTCAATAGTGGCCAACCCCTATCGTAAATCATACACTTTCTTGGCTCGTTCTTGACCAAAGAAGATGTTTGGTTGCCTACATTTAGAAAAAATGCCCTTTTTAGGTCTTGCTTTAATCAACAATAACTAAAAAATGGATAGTTTAACGAAAAAATAATTATTAGCCCCAGGTGAGCAATAATATTATCTACACTGTCAGATTTTTTTAAGCCAAAATACGTTATAGTTTTGGCTCAAAGAGAAAAATAAGTTTTTCTGTTTTTATTTTTTATTAAAAAAACGGAAGCCCTTAATGCAATATAAAAACTATTTCCATGAAGATTTTTGTATCACGAACAAATAGATATGTCGCACAAGTCTTCAAGTGCTATAGTAAGGATGATATTGGAAGTGGCGTTTTGCCGTATTTCGGCAGATTTTAATGACTGTAAGGAAGAGCCTTAACACCCGGTGGTTTCTCCAAACTACCATAAAACCCAAACCTTTACTAGTTATTGGAAGCTCAGGGTAATATTTGCAATATGATTCATGAAATTTCGCTTTTCTAGATAAATTCCGATAGAATGACAATTTTTTTTTACAAATTAGCACAAAAATTGATAAAAATGCAAAATATGCACCCGTTACGTGAAATATGCAGCAGAAGGCAAATATATGCAAATATGCAATTTTTTTATAGCTGTATTCATTTTTAATTAGCATGATTCGTTTACATATTAAATATCAAGGCTTATATGCAAAAAATAACGGATATGCAAATTTCATAAAATCCGCTCTCTAGTGATTAACTTTGTCGAAAGATTTTGAGAAGTCAAGATAAATCACATTCAACTAACTTCTGTTATCGCCTGTGGCATCCTCAGAGAAATAAATTAAATTATTTAAAATGGTTCTGCCAAAAGTAAAGCCATGTTTCCACTCGTTTACTACAAACTAGACTGGGAAGAAATGTAATTTATAAGTAAGAATTCTGAACTTCGTTCATGTAATTACCGTAATTCCGTCGAATAGGTTTTTTTTTACATTACTACATAATAAAATGAAATGATATTGAGGATGACAAGAAGATTTACATTTGCTTGTTGTTTAATTGGTTTTTAATATACCAGCTTCGAAAACTGAATCTAGAGCAAAGGTACCCATTTGTCGAACAATGAGTACAGTATTTTGTAGAACGCCTCTCAAGTATTTTCAAAATTTTCAGCAAAGGCATACAATACATTCGAATTAGTGCTAACCAGGTCTTTATACAATGTGGAATAGTCTGCCTTTTTAAAATTATAAGTTTTTTCCCCTGGGCATAGAAACATATTATTGCTTAAGGATCACATTTTAAAGCCAAATTAATATTTATTGCAGGATGATATGAGTCCTCCGACACAGTAGGACAGGTCTCATATTGTACCACACAATTTTCGAAATTGGTAAAGATTAAATCCAAAATACTTTTTGTTGCAGTTACAAATATTATCGAACTGCGTAAGGTTCAAAGAGGACATCATATTGCGTACGACACTATATTTAGAATCTTTACTATTATTGGAAAAACCAGGAGCATTAAAGTCACCAATTAAAAGTATGCTATCATAAGAGCGATATTTTCGAAACATAGATCACAAAAATGTACAAAGCACTGTAATCATAAGAGAGCTTACGAGCGACTAAGTATATCAATAAAGTGAAAGAAGTTGAGCACTCTACGCTCGACACATAAAATTGATTAGTGATTAGTCACTGCTAAGACTACCTCGCTACTATATTGAATAAATCAGGAACTGCAAAACCAAATGTTTTAAGGTTATCGTTAGCATGATAATTTGTTAATCAAACTGTATTCCCAAAAAATTCATGGCGTCATCTCTATAAATACTCTCTGAATTATGCAAAATTGCATTCTTTTTTTGTATATTTGTTTATACTGGTGACTCAAAAGAATTATTTTTCTTATATTATTTTAAAAACTATGTCCAAAAGTATGTTATACACCAAGGTAGTGAAGACAATCATTATAGGTCGAATGCAGATTAGAGCCCGAGACGCAAAGCGTCGAGGGTTATGAGCGTGAGATCTCTAATAGTCTTCCCTACCGTGCCGTATATATTATTTTTTCGCTAGTAGTG